TTAAGGTATAACATTTTCAGTTGGGAATCTCATCTAGAGATGTGGAGAAATTGGAATAAAAAGCAAATGAAATAGAGACCCCCAAAAAGCAGAGGTTAAAGATTTTGTAAGCATGATGTTACCTATATAACTACTGTGAATATTTTTGATGTGTATAAAAGTCAAAATATTACCATTATATTTTTAGAAATATAGAGAAAAATCAGAAGAAACAACTAAAAGATTTGAAAATAGTTCCTCTGTGGAAAGAAAAATGGAGATGGAATAGGATAGGGAACAGGGCCTAGGTTTTTTTCATTATAAGTCTTGTAATACTAATGGATTTTTTACAAAATGATTCATGTATTACTTTGAAAAAACTAAAGTTAAAGTTAAAAAAAAAAGTGTGAGATGCCCAGGAGCCAACTGGAGACTCTGCAGACCTGGGTGGAGCTGGGCCGCTGTTGACCTTCACTCTGGCTGATGGGTAGACCATGGGGACCAGTCATCTGTGATTGTAATTAAATGAAGGTCTTTTCTCTGCGGCTATTTTCCTGAAGTCAGTTAATAGTGTCTACAGTTGACCAATCAAAATTTCAGTATAAGCGTATTTTTAGAGATTGTCACCAGAATTAAACAGATTTTTTCTCTAAGGAGTGATGGTGAGGAATTGAGAAGAGCAAATTGTCACTTTGCATTCAAGCCCACTGGGAACACTTAAACATTCAAAGCTTGGTGTGTGCCACAAGGGGAGAGAGGAAGGGAATGGGATGGTGGCCCTCCTAGCCTTTGGTCCCAGCACCCCCTCGGCTCTTCTGGTGTGAATGACTCCCACCCGCACTGCGCTCGTCAGGTTTTAAACAGGTAAAAGCTTTTTTGGTGCCATCCATTATGAATCATTTTCAAAATGTAAATAGCAATTGTGCCATTTTTTATATTTGTTTCTTTCACGTTACTGAGTCCCATGCTTTGCACATACTAAGTAATCAACAGGTATTGAATGAATAAATGAACCTTGCCCTATACCTATGTAACTGTACCCACGCTGTCTGCTGGCTTCCAGTTGACTGGGCCATTGGGAGGCTCCTCCAGGGGATCTGATTATGGGAAGAGGTAGAGGTCCAGGTATTGGCTCCATCAGCTCTTCCTCTCTCCCCCCTCTCTGTCTCTGCTAGGTCAGTTTGGCAGTGCCTGTGTTCCCCCACCCAAGCTGACAGCTCTTGCTAGACAGCCTTTCTCCTACAGCTTCAGTTCTTGCCAGATTCCAGCAGCCACGCCCTCTCCTTGTCCCTTCAGACCCCGAGAAGGAGAAAGCTCTCTGCTCTTTCTAGCCCCTATATGTGTTAGAGTAATCATTTTGGTACTTAATGTTAGGACCTTAGAATGTAAGACTTAAAGCATGTAACCCTGCGTGGACTGTTATAGTAATTATTATAGTGCCTAATGTTAGATATAGGAATACTCGGTGAGACCCAAGAATGCACCCTGGTAACCCCACTAGTACTGGTAAACGACCTACCTGATGGGAACGCCCAAAGCCTGTACACACCCATAGATTAGCAGACCCCGGGTGGATCCACACATGGCAGCCGCTGATAACACACACACCAACGAAGACCACGCCTACCGAGGGGAATATAACCAGACAGTCTGATCAACTCAGCAGCGCATAGCTCTCCTGTCGCCAGAGCGTGAGGACCTGTGTGTGCTCACATTTCGGTTCCCAGCATGAAACTCGGCCCAATTAACTGTCTATTGAAGAAAGTGCCAGCAGCCAACGGCATCGTCTACCCCTTTGTGTGTATCAGTGAGCATCGCCGGGTGGATCATTCCCAGTGCCTGAGGCCCATCAGGAACTGGTAAATAACCCCCCTATGTGCTTGCATCTCTAACCTGGTTGTCTGTGTGTAATTTCTCCGGCTCAGCTCAGATCTCGGTGCTGTCTCTGTGAAAGTGTCTGACCAGAAGGTATTGGCACAAGCCTCAAGCAGATGGTCCAGACCACCTGTGCATGTCCCACTTAGGAGCAGCACCTATATGGGAACCCCCTGCACTTCGACATAGGTGACAGGCCTTAAATATATAAAAAATAGAAGCTATTTGGGAAAATATGATTCTCCACCTTCCCTCAACCCACATCTTTGTAAAGAGTTCCTTCTTTAAACTTCTTCCTATTTCTCTTTTGGTTCTTTGTCTTCTTGATTTCTCTCCTTTTCCTGCCCAAACCTTGTCAGATTCAACACATACATAATATACTTAGTCCAATTCAATGAGTTTTTAGGGTGCAAGGCATTGTACAAGGTAATACAGAGGACACAAAGATTCTGTCTTGCCTTTTAGTTCTTCAATACAGTGAGGAAAAATGAGAAAACATACAAATAATTACATAGTAGCCCAGCTGACATGGCTCAGTGGTTGAGCATTGACCTATGAACCAGGAGGTCATGGTTTGATTCCCAGTCAGTGCACATGCCCAGGTTGTGGACTTGATTCTATTCCCAGTCATGTGCAGGAGGCAGCCAATCAATGATGTTTCTCTCTTCTCTCTCTCTCTCTCTCTCTCTCTCTCGCTCTCGCTCTCTCTCTTCCTCTATGAGGTCAATAAAATATATATTTTGGAAAAAAACAAATAATTACATAATCAACATACAGATCAATTCTATTCATTATAAATATTAAAATAGAATAATTGAGAAGGCAGACAATGTTCAAATTTGCTCTGTTCCCTATTGTTTAAAAAGAATCTCTTTAACAGCTAGTGACTGAGTGGGCACATATCTGTCTTATCTTGTGTAAGAACAAGGCAGAATAGTTACCTTAATACACATGTTTCTGGACCTGGGACTCACTCCAGCACCTATCTGATGGATGTTTATGACCTTTGAAGGCTGACATGGGGCAACCAGATATACAGCAAAGGCCCAGATCCACTAATATTTATGATGCATAATCTTTTTGGTAAAAAGTGAAGAATACCAAGAGCTCAGGATTTACGGTTGGTGATTTCCCAGAACAGAGGGGGGAAATAATCTGTTTTCCTGATCCTGTTCACTTCCGTCTGCCCTCCTGAGCTTTGTCATGAGAGCTGTTACAGTGTTTTGTTGGGAGAAGAATAGAATTTGTGAACCAGGATTTTAAAATTTATACAACAGGCACTATGGCTTACCAGTTTAGGGCAAACTGCTTGGGTTCAATCTTTGCCTTGCTATTTCCTTAGAGAAGCCAGTTAGCATTTCTGTTTTTCATTTATCTTGCCTATTAAATGAGAATAAGAGCTGTACTTATCTCATAGGAACACGATGAGAATTAGATGAGTCAGTATGAACAAAGTATTTATACACAGCACATGCTATATACCCATTAACTGCTGTTCTTGTAATTTTGGAGTTTATAAAGATACTAGAGGCCCAATGCACAAAAATTTGTGCACTGGGGCGGGGAAGGCGGGGTCCCTCAGCCCAGCCTGCACCCACTCACAGTCTGGGAGCCCTCAGGGGATGCACTACTGATGGTTTAGGTTGCTTCTCTGTAGGAGATGACCAGGTGATCAGGGGAAGGCACCACCCCCATCACCTTGCTGCTGCTACCATTGCTGGCCACTGGCCCTCCTTGGCCCTCACAGCCACTGTGGCCTTGTCCATAAAGACGTCCAGAAGGACCTCCAGTCTACTTGGTCTAATTAGCATATTACCCTTTTATTAGTAATTATTTTATAGATTCTAAAACCCTGTTTCTGAATTAGACATGGCCTGTCACATGAATTGACTTTCTTGGTGTGAAGAATTCCATGTGGCCAGTAAAACTCTTGATGTTCTGTCAGGGAAATGTTTTGTAAGAACTCTTCAAACTCTAAGCTTCAGAGGACTCAAAGCAGGAAGAGGTCATTGCTGATTGAGAATAGGTCAGGAGGCCCTTTACAAAGGTGGATGTTTGAGACAGGACATAAAATAATCAGTAGGACTTAGAGAGGAGGAAAGAAAGGTACTCTTTCCTCTTAGGAAATTATTTTTAGTTCCCAAATTGTGCTTATCTTTTGTTTATTCCAGAGTACACTTTCCAAAAGCACTTCATCCTCCCAAGGACAACACTAATAGTCTCTGATGTTGTCTATTGTGTGGGGTTGGGGAGAAAGACAAGTAAAGGTTACATAACACATTTAAAGTCTTTGTGTTTCTCTGTGGCAGAATTTCAGTAAAGTCTGTGAGTTTACAATAGTTAGGAGGTACTGGCTGTGTGTGTGTGTGTATGTGTGTGTGATCCAGATTCCAGCCTTCTCTCCCTGTTCTGTCTTTTCTTCAGGGGAAAGGAGGATTGGTTTCATACCTTTCCTAAGTCAGTTTCATGTCACAGCTGCACCTCTCCATCTCTGTTAGGATCCCCAGGGCCATCATTCACTTTAGTGCTAGTTGCTGCCAGGACACTTGGCCCATTGTCCCAGTGAAAGTATGTTGTTACTACTAGTTGTAGGTGTCAGCAAAGGGCTGGCATTTTTGCTGCCCTGACTTTTTCTTTACCCCATCACAAGGTTGTTCTGACAAATTAAATTTACACTGAAGATTTAATTATAGGAAGTTTGCTTCATAACAACACAACTTACAATGAACTGTTAGATGTCCTTAGTTTTAAATGTCTTCCAGCTACTCTACTATTGGGAATTTTCTTCCTCTGTCCTATTGCCAAATCTCTCTCTCCTCTCTGAATCCTCTGTCCTTTTAGATTCACCCCAGTATATTTATTCTGTTGCAAATAACTTACCTACCTTTATTCTTATGCAAATAACTTACCTACCTTTTAGTTCTATCATTCTCTTTAAATACATGCCCTCGGGGTCTTTCCCTTCATCCTCATACAGCTCATCAAGGCATTTTCCAAATAAAGACATGAAGACAACTCTGAAGAGAGTTCTGGCACCAGGTGCTAAATGGTAAACATATGTGCTGAGATGAAGAATTCTCACAGAGGAAAACTGTACAATCATACCTCCGAGATACTGTGGGTTCCAGACTGTGGCAGTAAAGCCAGTGTCGCAATAAAGCAAATCATAATCATTTTGCTGGTGGAAGGTCTTGCCTTCAATTCACAAAAAAAACTCAATATCTGTGAAGTGCAATAAAGAACGTGCAATCATACAAAATGTGCCTGTAACTGAATATGAAAGGATCACCCTGGATAGTTATCCCTCCTCTGATGTGCTAACAAATCCACAGACAACAGAAAAGTGGAAGACCATCTTTGCTTAGTCAGGTCAAATGTGAGATGACTGTCTTAAGCTGAATTCCCTAGAAATGGAACTGAGATGCAAATTACTGTGCAAGTTGTTTCATTGAGAAAATGCCTGCAGGGAAAACCTGTAGGAATGGGGAAAGCAGGATGAGGTCAGGGGAAAAGCCAGGTAAAGATGTGGGCTCAATCAGTGTGATCCCAGCTTGATCCCACAGGAAACTCTGAAGCAAGAATGATACCAGGGGGCCAGGCCTGGAGCCAATTAGGCAGCTCTGGAACTGGCCAGACCCTGGAGATCAAATATACACCAAACTGTATTTTACCACTTTTGTTGCATTTTTATCTTCTCCAATTTAAAATTTCTACCCCTTTTATATCTTTATATTTTATTTTTTTATTTTGTTGACTCACTAACCATAAACATTTATGTTCTGATGAATATTGATTGACTCCACAATGGGCACCACTACAGTTGAGCTACCAAATTCTGTTAGATAGCATAGCTGGACACACGTATGAGGCTTATAAAGGATTGAGGTATTAATGCCTTCTGGTTGGTTGGATTACTGTTGACCCTTGAACAATGTTGGAGTTAAGGGTGCCAACTCTTGTGCAGTCAAAAACCCATGTATAACTTTTAAACTTAACTACTAATAGCCTACTGTTGACTGGAAGCCTTACCAATAACATAAAGTTGATTAATACATATTTTGCATATGTTTCATATACTATAGTCTTACAATAAAGTAAACTAGAGAAAATAAAATGTTATTAAGAAAATTGAAAAGAAGAGAAAATACATTTACAGTACTGTACTATAATTATCAATACTGTAAGTTTACACAATTTATTTACAAGATGGAAAAAATCCACAGATAAGTGGACCCATGCATTCAAACCCATGTTATTCAGGGTCAACTGTAGATTGATTGATCCAAATCTTAGCTAGAGAGGCAAAGATTTACAAATATTTGATTGCTCTTGCAAAACAAGATGTCATATTTAGTTAATATTTTATAGAGCAGTTTTTTCTAAGCAAATATTTGACAATGTCTTTTTATATGATAACTACAGACAAAAATAACCCAAAACACAAAGGTATCTTATATCAAAAAAGAATTGAAATAAAGCATGCACCATTATCTATAATAATAAAAGCGTAATATGCTAATTAAACCAGACAGACGAACGACCCTCTGGACATCCTTCCAGACAAAACCACGGTGGGGAGGGGAGAGGCAGAGGCAGAGGTGGTTAGGGGCAATCAGACAGGCAGGCGAGCAGTTAGTGGCATCAGGCAGGCAGGCAGAGTGGTTAGGGGTGCTCAGGCAGGCAGGCGAGCGCTTAGAAGCCAGTGGTCCCAGATTGCAAGAGGGATATTGGACTGCCGGTTTAGGCCCGATCCCTCATGGGATCAGGCAGTCGAACATCTCTCGAGGCATCCCAGATTGCGAGAGGGTGCAGGCTGAGGTGAAAGACCCCCCCAATGCATGAATTGTGTGCACCAGGCCTCTAGTATCTACACTAATAAAAGAGAAAAATGGTAATTGGCTTACCATGCTACCCTTTTCATTGGCTAATCAGGGCTATATGCAAATTAACTGCCAACTCAGATGGCAGTTAACTGACAACAAGATGACGGTTAATTTGCATATGTAGGCATAATGCAGGGAGGCGAAAGGGAAAGCAGGAAGAAACCCCCTGCCACTGACAGTGATCAGAAACCCAGGGGGTAGCTAAGAGCTGGGGGGCTATGATTGGAGAATCAGGCCATGATTGGAGAAG